ACTGGTAACATCACTGATATTGCCTTGTTTGAAAATATGTTCAGCAATATGTGCGCTTTATGGTTACTTTTTTATCGCTTTCGATCTACAATACACTTACCTTAAGGAGTATTTGAAATAAATAAATTCAAAAATAAATTAAGAAACTAATGTTGTGACTACCCGAAGGAAAAATCCATCAATGTAACCCTGTTTGGCAGTCAATGTTTTCTAGTGGACCGCTGACTGTGCCTGTCTGTACGTCAAACATGTCTGATTGGCCGACAAGTTACTCTGACCGACAGTCAAACTCCAGTCAGACTCCACTTGTCGGCTTTCTGATGGTTTCCCGGTGGCAGTCGGCCGCCGCGAAATTCCATCAAGATGTCTTGGTGGCGATTCTGATTGTACATCGATTGGCTCTGACTGTACGTCAAAAAGCTTTGACGTGCAGACAGACGTACGGTCGAAGAACGTAAAGTTCGTTCGGAACCACTATTCCGTCAAATCTATGAATACGAAAAATAATCTATGCACAAGAAAACGATTTCGGGACGTGAACCCATAAAACCGCTGATGTAAGAGATATGACACGCAGCCGACGGACAACCTTGATCAGAAGCCCGCCGAAACACCGAAAACGCCACTTCGCTTCGCCCATAGAGGCTTCGCCGAGCTTTCATGAACGATCGCTCTCGACTCGTTTTGTTTGCCCGCTTGCTCCAACCTGTCGATCCTGCGCTCGCTCTACAGTGTTTCATGTTTTAGTAGAATTTTTACTCGACAAGACACAGCCAGTTGTGAGTTCCGACGATGTAAGAGACTTCAGAGGTGTAGTTGAAGACGACAAGGTGTACCAGGTCTACTGGGCCGGAGACGCACGAACAAAAGGATCGTTCTACGGCGCGAAAGTACTCTACATGGCCGGTGAGTAGAACTGAAGTACGGCGAGTGATGTAAGAGTGCTTTGTATAACATTCTAAAGTCTTAACTGCATTTGCAACCGAAGCATCTCGTATAAAAAGAATGGTGAAATCGAGTTTTCTAACCAACGGCGCAGCACAGGGGTTAAGGTGTCCGATTCGTACGCAAGTGTTCGATCCGCGGTGGTCCTGCTTTTTTTTTTCTTTTTCTTTCTCGAACATTTTGTTTTATCGAGGCATTTGGCGATATTTATGAGTGCGTATAGCTTTACTCTTATATAAATGCTGCCCTTGTTGATGAAAATTACTTGGCAGTCGCAGTCAGACGTCATCTAATGAACCATCAGATGACGTCTGATGGTCCATCACGTTCCATCAAGGCTGCTGACTGGCAGTCAGTGTCCCAAATTACGTATCTTGATGGAATTTTCAATAGTGTAGTGTCGCTCCCACTAGTACTCGTAGGAACCATCCAATTGAAGTTAAATTGTAAATCCATATCTCATGACTGTTATATTGCCAAATATCCCGGGTACAGCAAATCGGCTTGCCAAAGCATCCAAACAAGGGATGTGACTGTCTTTCGTCTCACCTTAAGTTCGAGAGAAGCAATCGCCACGAGGCGAAAAGGCTAATCAAGCAATGCAAAAGCGCAACGCCATGACATTCGTCATTTTTCGTGCATGTATTATCATCAGCCGAACCTCTCAAGTGTAGTAAATGTGCCGGGACTATGTTCTTCAAGTCTACGCGCCGGTGTTTGAGTATTCCCTGTTCCTGAATTGCGCACGGTCTTTAATCTCTCATTTAATATGGTGGGAGGGAATTCACCGATTGCTTTCTTAAGATGAGATAGTGTAAAATTAATTGCATGAAGAAATGAAGCACTTAATTTTGCCCCTCTCCCTCTTAGTTGTGGACTAAACACTTTGTGAGAGCAGTATTGTATCCTATTCTGAACCAGATAATATATTAGAATGTCGAGGTTATACAGAGCCCCACAAATTTAAGCAAACGATCACAAAAATAGCTGCTAAAGTGAATAGCTGCAACTAAAAGAGGGGAGTGGTCGTTTTTTTTTTATATCAGTAGGTGGACACAGTGAATTATGTTCATAAAAGGATTAATCGTTACATTTCATTATTCTGTGTTTTTATTCGTAAAACATTGAAGACTGACTCAAACTAGAATAAATGTTGAAAGGCGTCAAAAACCTGTATGAAGTATAAACATCATCCTTGACCTTCACTATCACAAAGAATAAAGGCAAAACATTTTTTGAACTTCGAAACAGAAGTGCATGCACGACAGGCGGTGACTGACGCGGTTGGTCAGATGTACATACGGTGGGACAAGGCTGCCAGAGTGAAAGTTGTTTATTATTTTTTACAGTCATGTCGCGTCAACATGGACGCTTTCATTCTTTAGAAAAAATTGCCTATAATGTGGCTCGTCCACAATAAGTAATCAAAGCCAAAACGCACTTATGAACAAGCTCAGCCATGGCAATAATTTTGTAAAAAATGGTTCATGAAAATCACGTTTAAAAAACGGGGACGAAGAAAGCAACAAGTACGAGAAAACGTGATTTCATAATCATAATCAGGCAAAACGTGATTTCACGTTCTGTCAATATTATACCGGACACTTCAGTGAAGATTTTAGAAACGTCAGTTCTTTTGGGAAAACGCGTCAGATAGATCGCTCAAACACCTGGCAGTTAAATATGAAATGTAAAGAGCCTCGATAATTTCTCTTGTGACCTTCTTCCTGCGCCCTCACAAGATCCTAAAATCATTGAAGGTGGTATGGCACAAACAGTCCCTAAAACGAAAAGTTAGAAAGGCACCCACCGTTGCTTTGAGCAAATACGTATACTCCCGGAGTATGTCGTTCAGGCTCCTTGACCTATATATCTGTCCAACGAAACACTTTCCACTAGACAGGGGGATGCTTTACGCAACATTCGAAAGGCATGACAAAAACGGTTTTGCATGTTTTTTGGTGCACCTCATCTTCTCACAATTTTGAGCTCTTTCACCGAGTCTAGCACAAATTTGGTTAATTTGTTGTGGGGCTAAAAAACCATAGGAACTCGATACCGACTTCTAATCTTTTTCAGGTTGTGGAGAACACCGTAGTTGTGCAGGACCACTGCCGTTCGCTTTTGTCAAAATTAACACATCTTCTCTCAATACCTTTGGCCTTTTTAAGAAGAGAGCTCGCCACCACCGTCAACAATGCTTGCGGGAACCCTTTTGCCATGAGTCTCTTCACCCAAGACAAGAAAACGAAGTTCATCAAATGTTGGCATGAATTCGCCAGTGCCAATCCAAGAAACGAAACGGCGATGGCCTTCTTCACCGGTTTTGAATCGGCTGACATAAAGTCCAGGTCTGGTTTCTTCGACCAGTGACTAAAACACCAACATGCGTGCTCATCCCCCAGGCACAAGGACAGATCCCAGACCGGCAGAACCCTTACTTTTTGATTTCTCGAGTGTAAAACTGAGGCCACTCCCAAGCTTATTTAGTACATCCAAGACTAAAACACGCGCTCTATCTCCCTCCACTTTTGTACGAACCTCAAAAATCATCCACGCACCGAAACACCGTTTCAAAAAATAAGTTTATTCGCGAGTTCACTTTTGTCCTGTCATTTTTCTAACCTTCTTCGGCACCTTATTTAAACCCGTTTTTCATCAACCATGCTTAATTATTGTTGCAATGATTGCGTGGTTCGTGTAGCTAAAAATTACAATACGTAGGGTTGTAGCGAGTTTTGAGCCTACTTTTTTTGTGCAGCAAGTGCAACACGTCCGCTTCATAAAGTGCAGGTTCTCCCCGTTCTTCGAGTTGAACGTAAGTGATGGCTGTTTTAAAGCGGCGGCGAGCTGCACGTTGAGTTATACGGTTGGTTTCTCGTCTTCTTCGTAAGCTTCTTCTGTCGGAGCAAAGTTGTCTACGAATTGACGTTTTTGAGGAGGGCATCTGCTAGAAGCTCAAGGATCTGCTCATCAATCCACGGCTCCGAGGGGATGGCGTCATCTAGGTCCAAGAGTGCCTATGCGTCTTCACTGTTGTATTTTCACTTCCTATTTCACTTCTCTTCGCGAACGACTGCTCTAAGACAAAACCTTAACGTTCGAGCGCGTCGTCGACGTCGCTTTTCTTCTAGAGAAGGCCGCACAAGTAGCTAGCGCGATGCGATCACAGCCATATGCCGACAAACCTTCAATAGCATGCGAGGTCACTGCAGAACGTCGTAGACCCTCCCATCGACTGCAGCGAGGTAACAAAGGACGTCCTTCCTCGCGCCAGGTGTCATGGCGTAGCCCACGTTGGAACGACCGACTACCTCCCATGCACCACTGCATGACCAGCCTCTGTCTCGTCAAGCCTCAAATCGGAGTCTCTCCCGGACGTCCAATTATGACTAATAAGTGTCAGTACCACGCAATAACCGGGAGTTGGTCCAATACAAGAGGCTCACAGCCGGGCCTCCCTACTGAAAAAACCCGTATAAAAATTCATACTGGTTGACCCGTATATCTCATACGGTGTTATGAGATACGGCTCTCCCGTATGCTACTTGGAACCCGTACCTGTACAGGTTGACCCAATCAGATACAGGAACCCGTTCGGATACGGGGCCCGTACCGGTACGGGCTGACCCGTTAAGGTAAGGGAAACCGTGCCTGTACGGGTTGACCAGTTTAGATATAGGAACCCGTACCTTACAGGTTGACCCATTCAGATATAGGAACCAATATGTATACAGATTCACCTGTTCAGATAGAGAAACCTCTATCTTTACAGGTTTACCCGTTCTGACACAGTAATAGGAATCAACATGGTGTTGAACGTTTGCACACGGACGTACGGATCTTACCAGGTTTAACAATTTGCACGCATTTGTTATGCAAAGAATGAGCATGAGCCAGGTCATTTCAGGTTATATGTGTATTTAGTGAAGGCAAATTGGCATACTGCAGAACATCAACAAAAACCTTAACCTCTAAGCAAGCTTAGAAGTCAAGCTTCTTGTTAATATCCTGCAGTAGAATATTAACAAATTGGCATACTGCAGTAGGTGTACCCGAGCTGTCCTCTTCCCTGGAGAGGCCTCTCGAGGATGCCTCCATATGTACTCGTTGAAGGCATCTGCAGGGGAAAATAATACAACAATAAGTCATGTATATCTACAGTTTCTCGAAAAATATAATATTTTACTTCTTGCAATTATAAGCAAGCAATTTCCACTACAGTTTATGCTTTGTTACAATCTTGCGATACCATGTAGACTCCAAGAGCAACTTCTTACGAATACGCAGTCTGCTGAAAACAGCCGGTATGCATGATTCGACCAGAAAGTTTTGAACCAGTTCAGACCGAGTTCGGAGGAGCGCAGAAGCAGTGCCCAAGTCGGGCTGCGGCTGCGTGTAGTTAAGCTGCAGCGTTACAAACGACCCTGTAATTGGTTTCCGAAAGACCGAGGGGTTGCCACCTGTTACTGCAGGAACGCTGAACTGATTTCAGCCAGCGCAAGATTCTGTGGAACTGAGGCTGAACTCGTGCAGCACTGGGATAAATCGAACTGGCCAGTTCAGCTTCCAAGCAACTTCCGATTGAATCTAATGCATCAGTTCTTACACTACTTGAACTATATCGGCTGGTTCAAGCAAATCGAAAAGACGTAGTGTGACTTCCCACAACTATGCACTTGAAGTTTGCTTTCAACTGTGTATTCCTTGCATTTCAGTGTCTATAAAAATTATAGACCCGGTAGCAGGGAGACAAAAAGGAACGGAAAGACACGAAGCTCGGGAGCTTTATGTCTGTCTGTCCCTTTTTGTCCCCACGCCCCCGGGTTACTACGTCTATCCTTAACCAGCTCGCCTGCCTGTTAACTAAAATGAAAGTATTTTGTATGAATCCAAATATGTATTTTCAATTCTGAACATGGGCCTCCGATTGCATAGAGCCTCGAACACATTTCATGCCCAACAATGTCACCATGGAAACGAGTGAAAGGAACATTGAACACACAATTCTCGGCCGGCGGTTTTTGTGCGAAAGAAAGATTTCGAGCCGCACATGTTGTTCTGGGCATGTATATAAATTAACAACACAGATTTGACATCAAGAATCATTTAACAAATATAATATCCGAGTCACCTCCGTTCAATGGTTCATTCATACTTGATAGGAGGGATACCCGCGATGAGAAGGTAGTTTAGAAAAATGGGCAGTACTCAAAGGACAGAGCCAAACATAGTTCGGTTGCAGCAGCTCTAGTGGACAAACAGACTCGTTTCACAACTTTGCTAGAGCCAGCTTTTCGTTCAAAAGAAAAAATAAGTGCCTCACAGCTCCGCCGGGGAGCCAGCAGAACGTCCTGAGAGCAGGCCACTGATATCATGGACCTCCCCCAAAGCTTGCAAGGATTAGCAGATATTTGCGACGCGGAGCATGTTGCTGTAAAACCTCCATAGTGTGAATGCTTCAGAAAGCGCCTAGCGACCTAGATGACCGTGACAAGGTCACTTTATTTTTCTTCATATATTAAAAACAAAGAAGGAGATAGGGCTTCTTCATTTCGGTTCTGCGCTCGGAGCTTCACGTTCCTAAAGCTTGAGCTAGTCGAACTGTGACCCTTCAACAGTCTGAAACACTGAAAGTTCTGAAAGCCTTGGAATATTTTATCCCATTCATTTTGCCGTAGCAGATTACAACTTCGGAAGCCATAAGGTTTGAATGTCTCACCAAGTATGAGACATCTCTGAGAAGTGGGCACTTACTGCTGACTTCTGCCAACGTGACTGGAGTCAGGGCCCTCTTGGCCATGGCGTCCTTAAAGCGCCGGCATGGCACCCCTCACACTCGGCCCATGCAACTCCTCCCTGCCGAAGATCAACTTCGTGGCCTCTTTAACGAAGAGGGAGTCTCCCCGGGCTCCCCTGACGTAGGACAGTTTGTACTTTTGCACCAAGACACCGTGGCCAAGGTGAACCTAGAAATAGATAGAAATGCTCTACAGGAAATGCAGCCAGCCATTGGTCCCAATCTCGATCTTTCGGAAACTTGTGCAGACGTCTGCCGCACAATGACACTTTTTTCGGACGCAGGACATGCGAGGCAGCTTTTCACGCAATATCTTGGTGGTATTCTCTTCGAAGCCGAACACGGAAATTCACCACGGGAACTCACTACTCATCTCCAGCTTCTCAATGTACAGAACAACTTATCTTGAAGTGCAGAACAGAGAGCGGAACAAACATAACTGCAAAGGTATCGCGTAGCAAACAGTTCCAGCCATGCATGTTGTCTGCTGTACACACAAAAAAAGGACACGAAAAGGAAAACAAGAAGCTCACAATCGGGTGTAGCCACGTGACCTTTCCCACTCACTATCTCCTCTCCACTTTTTCGACCTCCGTGCACGGGTTTCAGTTTCGGTTCTGAGCAGTTGCGTTTTCTGGCTTTAATAAAAATATATGTGACTCTGTTGCAAAATATTAATTATGTAGTCGTTTCGACACCATAATAAATCGCCTGGAAAAAAATGAAACATTGGGGGGGGGGGGGGGGTGTAAGTGTCCGTTTAAGTGAGCTTTAAGTAAAGAGAATGAGCGAAAGAAGGGTATTAATTATAACAGAATTTTAATCTGGGCTCGTGGTACACGATTTATGAAAAAGCTTGAAATAAAACGAGGACACTAGATAGAAAACGTTTCAGAAAAGCGCCAATTAATTGGGAAGAAATATCTTATCAATGCCAGGTTCTACTCTTTACATTCATCAGCATTTTGAAACAGGACGATGGTTCAATTTAAGGAAGCATACAAATAACCTCATTCAAGGAGCTCTGGAAACCATAAAATGTAGTCACTTGCCCAATATATGAAATGAATATTCAATGAAATTCTGAACTTACCTCCTCATCGACCTCTGCAAGCACTGGCACACACTCGGGAGGTGCCTCCGGTGGGCCTGCTACAAGAACCGCTGCTGGAACAGCAGCACCAGCGGCCGGTACGGGTTGAGTGTAATCTACACCAGCTCGCACAACGTGAACTGGAGCAGGAGCACCAGCTGCAGGAACTTCTGTTGGGCAAGCTGTAGGAGCTGACCCAACACCGCCAGACAGGACATTGTCCACTGCAATATAATAAAACACTGTTTAGAAACAAGACACGGTACAGGAGTCGACAGATTTTTCGGACGCCAAAAATTCAGAGATGCTTGGTTATTCGGACTTCAGCACTTTCCTGGTCCGCAAAACACATCCACACGGCGTCAATTCTTGGTCGGTATCCAAGCGTGCGAAGGCACAGAGACACGGCACTTCGGCGTGCCAAGGAAGCTTTGAACACGCCGCCAGCCCTTCCTTTCGACGAGTTGTGCCTTTTTCCTGCGACATTGCACTTTCGTAAAATTTTCCACGTGTTCACGACGGCAAGTCTCAACAATACACAGAGTCTTCAAAAAACTTCTTCGGCGAATAACGACGAACGAGTAGAAAACGTGTCCACAGCACGCTGGAAAACCGCAGCAAAGGCTAGCAAAAACGGCAAATCGTATCCCAAGCGAGTGAAGTCCGGTGGCTTCACTTGCGGGAGTGGCAAGCGCGATCCAGCAATTGTCATTGAGATCAGTGAGCGGCGCGGATACATAAGGATTGAATTGGATTGAAGAAATAATCTGCCTTAGATTATATTTGTACTATTATTACTCAAAATAGTTTTAATACATTTAAAATCATAAAAACTTACCATGTTAAGTTTCTTTCTTGTTAAGAAAAACATTGTTTGTCCGTCGTTGGTTGTTTTTCTGCAGTCTGGCTTGCAGCTACAAAATCCAATCAAATCCGATGTCAATAAACCGAAACCGAAACTACCGCGGTACAGGGTTCAAAGCTATGAAGCAAACTCGTTTATCTCGGCCTCGCTTCCCATGAATTTGGTTTTCGCATTTTATGGCTTTAAATATGCATGTCATAAAATGGTTCGGTTTGATAGCTGAAACTGTTAAATCGAACTGACCTAATATTTGATATTCTGATCCAAATTCTTTATTGACAAAAATATCACAGTTTAGTTTCGCGGTGCGCGCGTTCCCGTCGAGGTCTGATAAGTTCTGGTCGCCTAAATAGACCGATCTCACCGGCCAGTTTGACTACGCCACCGCTGCCGCAATGCAGCGAGGGAACTTTAGTCTTTGGGTACGTGCGACAACCTCCCTGGAGCTCTTCGAGTGTAGAGCACGAGAAGGCACGAGCCCTCGCGTGCACGGCCGTCTGCCTCCCGTGAACTAAAGTTATGGCGGCTTTACGCATGCGCCCAACGCTTAGTGAGATCGGTCTATTGTATATACCGGTAGAGCCTGTACAAGGTTACCGACCGCCGGTTTAAGTGCCGGCGCCGGTAAGGCGTTACCGGTCGCTCCGACACGTGGTTGCTGTTAGCCGCGCATCGATTACTGGCCACCGGTACGTTATTACGGCCTACCAGTGTGGCGTACCGGCTTCGCCTGTACGTGTTCACTCGCCGTATGTACATGATATGGGCAACCGGTACGGCGTATCGACTTCGCCGGTACATGGTTACCGGTTACCGGTGTGGCCTACCGGCGGTGCAACTACGTGTTCACCGGCCGCCTGTACATTGTATGGGCAGCCGGTACGGCGTATCGGCTTCGCCAGTACGTGGTTACAGGTCGCCGGTACAGAGCTACCGGTTACCGATAGGAGAATACAGGACTCCGGTGTGAACCGGTATAGGCCGGTATACATTTGTACAGGTTTTTTCAGTAGGGCTTGGGCACCTAGTCGCACCACGAGACATGAATGCCGAAACTGTGGTTTGCACAAATATCTAACCGCCGCGGCCTGCCCAGCGAAAAATGGCACGTGTTATGGGTGCGGTAAGCGGGGAGATTACACGGGTGTCTGCAGGAGGTCCAACCGTCAACAGAACTCCGTTCATAACCAAGGGATATTTTACGACGACGACGAAGACGATTATGGGGTTGTGACGAACGTTACTCCTGGTGGTCATCGATCAGCCATTTACATAGACGTCATCGTCTTCCACCTTGTTGTCCACTTTTTCGTGGACACCAGTTCGT